TTCCATCTTACGACATATTGCCCATAGGTGCAAATTTAAAACAAAATTTATTTCTTTTGAACCCCTTTGGCGTGTATTTAAGTTCGTCTTTAATCTCGGATAACTCGGATTACACAACTGTATAGACAAATCCCTGCATTCGTTGCTACAAAGAATAGTATTCTTGTGATTCGATTACGACACAAGTTAAGAATTACAAACTTTGGCCTTCGGTGTAAGTTGAGCACCATATTTAGCAATTCAAACGCTTTTCAACTGACTGATGATACAGAGACAGAATTTCTTCTCGACGCTCATATTTTTTGCGAAAATGTATGTATCTTGATGACGTATTTGCAGGAGCGAATTTCCTGGAGCCTGCATTGATAGTAAGGGATCAGTTGATTATGGCACATTCTTCCGCTAGATTCGATCTTAGAAAATGGTTTACCAATGCCAAAACTATTTTGACTCGTTTCCCGCCTAAGCATTTGCTTGACGCTCATATGCGAATGGACAGATTCTTCACCTACCTTTTTTAATCCATATTTCTAGTGCTAGAATTGTGTGACGAGCTTAAGAAGGGCTCAATGTCTTCATATTCTGTGATACTAAGGACCTTCCTATTAAAGACCAGTAATTCTTTGATCCATTTTTCATCTAAAATAAGGGCTACAAGTCTACCAGAATAGTTCCTGGTACCTTCCAAGTCTTCTATAAGAAAATGTTATTTTCTTCTCTAAGACAGGTGAAGACATTGACATTCGATTAGAAACTCTTCTAAATGTCCTTCAGGCCTTCTTAGAAAACGTCTTTTATTGCAGAATATTTTTCTCCAAAAATATTTGGTCTTCTATAAGCCGACCTTTTGATCCTCTATAAAAATTCTAATTCGTTATCTATTTAATCCTAATGTCTGTTCTCTTGGTATTCTATATGTCTTATTGGTTTTCTATAAAAAATCTTGTATTGTAAAATATTATGTTATGGACTTCTATATGTCTTATCAGAAGATCTTTATGAGGAATTCCTTTTGATCCTCTATAAGCGAGAACTTTTTGGTCTTCTACAAAGAGATCTTTTAGCCTACTATGATAAAACGATAATGGAAGGGTAAAGGTGATTGATTAATGAACGCCCAATCGAGACTGCTGATGTTAAAATCCCGAAATTTGGAATGAAGGATCCCTCTAAGTCCGAAGGGATCCGGTAGAACAAGAACTCTAAAATTTGAAATGAGATTCACTGATGGGGTGTTTGATAGATGTTCCAAATGATTTTTGTATTATTTTCAATGTATAAGTATCCGAAAAGTACTAAATTTGGTACAATTTCCCAGCATGTGAACGGATACAGTTGAAAACTTGAAATTTAGTATGCAAAACAGGAGAAGTAGGTTGCGATTGAAGATAAGTAGGTTCGATATAAGAAGTTGGTTTTGGATCGGTGTACTCATATATACGAAAAGTACTAAACAGTACTAAATTTGATACAGAGCGAATTTGAAGGAATGTACCAAGAATCCTGGAAAATTGAAATTAGCATTACCAAATTAGCATTTGGAGTTAGGATCGTTGTTGGGGTAGAAAGTTTTGAAAATTCGTACTAATGTGTACTAGATTTGCTACAATATATATTTGTTTGAACCGATGCGGCTTACTTGTATTAAATGGTACTAGATTTGGTGCAATTTTAATTTTGTGTGAACCGATAGAGCTGAAATTTGGAGTTTGGCGTAAGCAGGAGGCTAATGGGCTAATGTGTACTAAATTTGGTACAATTTTTTTAATTTTTGATACCTTTATCTTCCGAATTCGCTGTAATTTGGTATTTTGGATTTTCAAAGGGTTGCAAATGTTTCTACCAAAAATTACCCATAAAACGATACCTCTCAAAGTTCGATATTTTTGGGGATTTTGGATAATTTGGTATTTCGGATTTGGATCATTGAGTTACAAATGCTCGTAACAAAAATTATCGATATTGCTCCACTTTTTGCTTAGGTCCCGATTGATCGATACCTCATAATTTTCGATATTTTGGGGAGTTTTGGTGACAATTTTCCATTAAACTATTATTTAATGTTTTGGTTTCTCATTGGGTATCAGATAAATCTTCCTATCAAAAATAATCGATATTGGTCCACTTCTTTGTGTAGCTCCGATTAACACTTAAACTGCCGCGTCACCCGTATTCGGGTGACAGCAAAAGTTCTCAACAGGCCACGTCGGGTGACTCCTTCCAAAGGATTTCCGAACATATTTAGATAAATATATGACAGGAGATAATAATTTTGATTTTTTTTAAAATGTTTATTAACAAAATTTTTTGCAAAATATTGAAGCATTATTTTTGACCAGCACAGCTTAGACAAAAAGTAATGGGTTTTCTGAGATTTGTTCGTGCCTTTGATCGTTCCAGTTCTTCTCTTGTATTTGCGTAATAGATATCGAAAGAAATGTAAACAGACATTAAGCAGTGACGGGGATTTTGTTGTTTTTTTTCAGTATTTTTGGGGACTTCGGGCATGCTTATCAATCGATTTAGCTGTAGTTTAGTATTTTGGATTCTCATAGGGTAGTATCCAAGCCGAATTGACTGTAATGTGTTATTTGGGGTTCTCATATTAAGCAAATCTTCTTACCAAAAATAAGTAATATTGACCCACTTATTAATGTAGTACCTCCCAAATATTTGGTAATTTTGGATATTTCTGTCAAGATTTTTAATGAAATTGACTATAATTTTATATTTTCGAATCCGATTGGGTAACAAATCTTCTTACAAAAATTATCAATACTGGTCCTTACTTTTGTCAACTTTTAATTATAGTCCCCATCTAACGGCACCTTCTAAATGTCGGTATTTTGGAGAAGTTTAAGCACGTTTTTCAACCATGTTGGCTGTAATTTAGTATTTTGGGTTCTCGTTGTGTGGAAAAATAGAACATTTCGGGCCGGACCCACGTTATTTAAAATTTTGGGTACGTTTTCCAAACGAAGTGTCTCTAATTAGATAGTTACCATAGAATATACTTATAAAATGAAAAAAAAATTGAAATTTGCAAAACCTCCGATTAAAGTTGGAATTTTAGTTCTCAGATTTTCCAGTTCAAAAATTTTTGTTAAAAAAAATCAGCGAGATGATTTTAACTGCATCATTCACTGGACACTTCTGTCTCTACAGTACGGTATTTTGTACTTCGGACAACTCATTATGCCTCATTTCAAATTTAGCATTAATTTCACGTCTTCGAATTTAAAAGTATCGGGTTATTTATAGTACTCTAACGAGGGATTTTTGATATTTCTTGTTTGTACTATTTAGTACAAACTTACAAATTTTTGTATCCTATCTTTCGACCACGCACCTAAAATCACCCACATGCAAAATTTTCATTGCATATTGGGTCCATGCTATATTTTTTTTTCATTGTTTTCATTTTCAAATTGTTTGAAAAAAAAACAATTTTGTTTATATTATTTTTTATAATTTTTTTGTTCTTTTTTTTAATATATAATTTATTTTTCTTATTCTTTTGTGTGTGTGTTGTTTTTTTTGGGGGGTAAACGGTTATTAAACTAAAGTAAAACAAAAACAATACAAATAATATTTTATAATAATAACAATACTTGGGTTTTTGTTACGATTTCCTATACAATTATTCTTACAAATACACAATACAATACATTTTGTTGTTGTTGTTGCTGTTGTTGGTTGGTTGTATACATCCATATATAGTTTATAATTCTTTTTTCTTCTTATAACTTTACACATCACATTCAATTCTCTTGGGTTTTTTCACTATTATTAAACAAACAAAAATTAATATAAATAATATAATTTTTTCAAAAAACAAACAAATGAACATAAAATATTTGGAGTTTACAATTTATCATCATCAAAATGATCAATTCTCTTGGTTTATTTTTCTCTTTATTTTCATTATTAAGCAATGAGCAACAATTTTTTGTTTTTGTTTTAGTTTTTTTCTTATAGGCTCTCATAATTGAGTTGTTTGTTTATTTGTTTTTGGTAATATTTGCATTTGTTTGTTTTTCGTATAAGAGAGTCCTTGGGGAGGAAGAGAACGCAAATGTTCTCTTATTTTTTATTGTGTAGGGCTATGATGATTTCTCTCTTGAATTAGCTCCCCAGAAAGAGTTATTAAACATATTTTTGTTTTGTTGTTGTTTTTTTTAATAAATTATATATATTTTATTTCTTTTTTTAATATAAAATTTAACAAAAAAATCTCAGTTTGGTTTAAAAATTTAAAACAATTTTTAGTTTTCATCCTAGACTTTTCTAATTATTACGAGAAAGGGGATTTGAACTTTCTCGGCTTTTCTTATTTTCGTTATCTTTTGCTGCGTTTTTTCTTTTCTTCTTTTTAAGATTTTCTTTTACTTTTTTATGGAACATTTGTTGCAGAATTATTATTTTTTTATTAATTTTTTCTTTTATTTTTATTTATTTTATTTTTAAGGAGTTTCCTCCTTCTCATTTGGGATTCTCGTGTTATGTTTTAATATTATTTTTAGCTATTACCTTTTGTTTTGCAATGTGTTTGTTGTTGTTGTTTTTATTTTATTTAAAATTTGTTGTAAGCTTATTTTTGTTGTTGTTTTTTTAAGTTTAGCTAAAAAATATAAAATACATACATACATAGTTTGTTGTTTTCTCGTAAATAGAAAAATAATAATCTTAATTAAAATAACTAAAACATATATAAAAAAATTTAAAATAATATTAATAACAAAGAAGGTTTTAATTGTAGCTTCTTCTTCTTCTTCTTGATTTCTATTTTATACATTTTCAATTTTTAATTTATTCCTTTTGTCTACCTTAATGCTTTGCCTTCTTATACAAATAAGCTCTCAATTTTTTTCACAATCTTTGGAATATTTTTGTTTTATTATTTATCTTCTCACAGAACCTGAATCGATTTCAATTTCACATGTATTTTCTCTCCTTAGTAGCCCTTGTTTTTATTTTTGGCTCTTTATTCAAATAAAATCTTATAATTTCGATTCAGCATTTGGAAATTTCGGTGATGGCTCATCACCAACCGGCTGTGGACTGGCCAAAGTTTTCACTATCTTCGGCACTATTGTTATCGGTTGATCCTCCTCGTCTTCGGCATCTTCACCCTGTTCCTCATCGATGGGTGTCAGGGCCTCCACATGCACCGGCGAATCTTCTGTCTTCGAACATCTCTTTAAGCACGGTGCCAAAAAGCTTGTCACTGTCGATATGGCAAACAGACCACCGGCCATATAGAATGGCAAATCATAGCTTTGCGTAGCATCGTATACAGCACCGGCCAGGGGGGATCCAATAATGGCCGCAAAACCTCTAAACAAAATTAACAAACCAAAGGCATTGGTCAACTTGTCCAAACCCAACAAGTCGACCAGTATAATTGACGTCAGTGAGATATAGCCCGATACGGCTAGGCCAAAGAATACCGACATGGTCACGTACGATCCATATGAGGCACAAAGCGGTGTCAGGATAACGGCCACGGTACACACCAGCAGACACACGTTGTTAAGGAACAATGAATTCACCGAGGGGAAATCCGCCACATAACCGCAAACAATACGTCCGAATGTGTTGGTAATGCCAATAATCGAAATGAGGAAGGAGGCAGAATCGGCATCAATACCTGCGGCTTTCGTGGCGTCCACCAAGTACACAAAGGGCACATACAAACCAGCCATACCAAAGATGTTCGACACGCCAATCATCATGAAAACGGGATCCTTGAGCAAACTTACATCCAACATATTGTTGATGACCGATTTCACCGAGTCCGGTATAGCCAGGCAGGGACACAGATCGTATTGTTCCCGTTGACGTTCTGCCTCGGCCAGCGGATCCAAACGATTTACACTTTGCATGCTCTTCTCATACTTGGTTAGCGACAACACCGATTGGCGATAATTGGTTAGGGATTTTTGGGATTGATACTGGGGTAGATTAGTCACGGAACCGGAATAGAAAATATCCTTGCGCGACATGGGACGCACCATTTTGCCACCGCCGCTTTGCTGGGAAAGCGACATTTTCGAGGCGGTCATGCCCATTTCCATGCCATTCGGATCCAAATCGGCACGTGAGGAGGCCCGTATGGCCGCCAACGATGGCTGGAATTTTTCTGAGGCTGAGGTCTTGCGAGACCTTTGAAAGGACGGCACCGAACCATTTTTGGGAAGACCTTGATGTTCCATTAAAAATGCTGGCTGGGAGGCGTTGCGTGTCATGTAATCCGATGACTGGTAGGGGCTGGTGGTGCTCGATTCCGAGGTGCGATGTGGACGCCGGGGCTTCACATCCAACTGGCCGTTGCTGTCCTTGTTGCTGGGTGGGCTTTGGCCACCGTTTTGGCCATTTTGCATGTCTATCACTTTGGCTTCGGTAATGGTGGGCAAGGTGGAGACGGGATGTAAGCTGCCAGAGGCTGCTTGTTGAGCCAACAGTTCCAAGTTCAGCGAAGAATGCACACCGGGGTCCGCATTGAGCGGCATTTTCATTTTACGTTCCATGGTTCCGTCGGGCAGTTGGACCATAAAGGATCCGGCAAAGGAGCCTCGTTCCAATTGCAGTTGTTTCTCTTCGTACATGCGCTGCATCAGAGGCTTGACCTTCTTCTTTTTGGGGTACTTGAGAGGACGCATCATGGCACCGAAAATGGCACAATTCAAGATCATGCCGGCAAATATTAGCAGCGAGTTCTTCCAGCCATACTGGGCCAACAGGTACGAGGCCAGGGGGGCGAAAACAAAGGTACCGAAACCAGAACCGCACACCGCAATACCCGTAGCCAAAGAGCGTTTCGTCTCAAAGTAGTAACCCACTGCCACCACGGCCGGCAAATAGATCATGCCGAAGCCGAAACCACCAATCACACCATACGTCAGCATGAGCATATCCACCGATGTGCTCAACGTGCTCAGGGCAAAGGCTATGCAGGCTATTACCGAACCGGCAATGCACACCGTACGACAGCCATATTTGTTCGCCAGGGCTGAGACAATCGGACCTGCGGCTAAATAAACACCACTCAGCAAACTGCCAACCCATGCTACTTTGGCCTTGCCCTCGCCAAAGTAGTCCACAAATTCTGTTAGGAAAATACCGAAAGTGTAGGCAATGCCATCGACAATCATGTTGCACATGAAAGAGGCGAAGCAAATGACCCAGCCATAGCCACCGTCCGGCGGTGGTGGCAATTCGTTGTATTCGCTATAGTCATCGTCATCATCGACTTCGGGACTGCCAGCAGCTCCCGATTCTTGTAGGTCAGCGGTTAGATGGGCGGCTTCTTCGACGGCCAGCTCGCTATCGGTGCGATCGAATTTGCGCAGACGGGCTGAGGAGCCGGTTTGTGGAGGCATTGAATCGGTCATTTCGGTTCTGTTCTGGAGGTCTTTTTCAAGCAATGAATTTGTGGATCGTGAGTTTGATTAGTGGGTGGTGGTGGTGGTGCTGGTGGTGGATGCTTCTTTTTTTGTTAGTTAGATGGACGGTGGGTATTAGTACGCTTTGCTTTTGTTATAAGGCAGGCAGGCGTCTGGAAGAAAATGTGGGAGCAGGCAGGTAGTGGGGATGTACATAAAAACAACGAACGGCGGCGGTGGCGGCGACAAGCTAACCGGTGTGCAAATTTTCAGTGTGGACCACCCATAATGAGTTGTACTTTTTTGTTAATACTTTTTTAAAATTGTTGTTGTTGTTGTTTTGTTCTATCAGGTCACAGGTTCTTTTCTCAGAGCTTTTAAAATTTCTTTTATTTTGATGACTATATTATATATAATTTTGTTTGTGCTTAACTTTTGTTTTCTTTTTATTCTTATTACGTTTTTTGTCTTGTAATTTTTCTTTGTTGTTGTTTGTTTACTTTGTTTTGTTTTCTTTTTTTTACACAATTAATTTATATATCATTTATATATATTTCTTTTGCTATGCACTTTGTTGCTGTTGATTTTTATTTTGACTTTTGGTTGGCTTGTGCTTTTTTATTGTTTTTTTTTTCGTTCGTTCTGTATTACAATTATTATTTAGTTTTGTATTTTTTTATTGTATTAAAATTTTCTCGATTCTATTCACTTGCTAAACGACAACGCTGTGTGGATGTTTATCCGTCCACATTTTATTTGAAAATGATTAAAAGGGTTTCTGCGCTAAAACTTCTTTGCTAGCTGTGCTTGTTCTTCATGTGATTTTGCTGCTGGCGTCGCCAATTCTGCTGTTCCTATTGTCACACTTACAGAGCACACACACATACACGAACGAACACTCTCAGACAACACAGCAGCAGCAGCAGTTGTACGTAACTTGAATTTTCTTCAATATTATTATTGTTTTTTTTTTTTTGTATTATCAATTTTCTTCGCGGTTTGTTTTTGTTATTTCTTTACTTTGCTCTACTATTCGCGCTCACATGTTTTGTGTTATCTTTGACATTTGTTTTATTTTTTGTTTGTTTCTTGAGCTCTCTTTATTTTTCTCACTCTCAATTAATCACCACTCTACATAACAGTTATTATAATTGGAATATTGATTGGCAAAAGGAAAATCACTCTGTTAGTCTCTTCTTTGTGTCTCTTTATCTCTCTTTTTTTTTTTTTTTTTTTTGAGACTGTCTGTTACAGCCACAGAGTAATGCCCTCCTTCTCACAGTGTATTACAATTCTGTTGGAGAAATAATAAAAAAAACAAGAGAGAATATATTATTAATTGTTATTGTATTATTACATATTGTTGTTGCTGTTCATATTAATCATTGAGATTGTTGTTGTTTTTGAACTTTGTTTCATTGGAATTGTGGAAATTGTAATTTATCGATTATTTGCTTTTATTGTTTTGCTCATATTTGTGTCGGCTGTTAATCTAAAATAAATATGTGTGTGTGCATGGTGCTGCTGATAATGCCCAGCACTCAAAAGACTCCATAATAATAGTAGTGGGCAAATATTTGATTGTAAATTATAAAAAAAAAAAACAAGAACAAAATATGATATATTAATTTTTCTAAAAAAAAAAAACACACTGGGTAACAGAAATTTTCCTAGGAAAATCTGCACTGGAGATTTTATGGGTTTTTTACCCATATTCACTGGGAAAATATTACATTTGAATATAAGAAAGAAAAACGTATTTAATCAAGGGGGTTGATCTGTTGATTTTGATTTTTTTATCAAATATTTGTTATTTATTAGGGGAGAATTACGTGGGGTTTTTACAGCGCTCATAAAACCTTGGTTTAATATTTTTCCGACCCGCAACCACATTTTTGTATATGGCAATCTTGTTCTCTATATGCGTAAACCACTTTGGCTTGCTTTTTCACTTGTCGAAAAATTGTGCATGGGTGACCATGTTTTCTGAGTGTCATTGTAAACTTTTTTTCATTTGGTTGTAAGGGCGCAGGAAGAATTCTGTGATAGTTTTCTTTCGTCAAACAAATTTGTTGCATTCCAACTATCATTTCAAACATAACTATTGTAATTTCTTTCATATATATTTATTACAAAAAAGTTATTTTAAATTTCCGTAAAATGCCATGGGTGGGGCACCTTTGAACATGCCCATTAAACTCGAGTAAAAAATGAGTTTTTAACTTTTGGATTCGATTTCTCAAAATTTCAAATGGGCTAATAAGATTACGAAATTAACTGTATTTTTCACCATATTAATTTTTGTTTTTAAGTCATTTTATGTTTTAATAACTTTTGATCTAAATTTTTTAAATTTTGAAAATTTTTTAATATTTTTTAATGAATTAATGCATTTCTGATATTTATGAATAAAATACATATATATTTGAACAGAAAGACTGTAAAAAACCATGCCGTTCAAAAATACCAAGCTTTGTTCAAAGGTGCCCCCCTGGGGGGGCAGTTTTGAACACTTTGACTTCCTCCATTAAAACAGTAATAAAATATGTATATCAAGCTTAAAGTATGTCATATGTATATTCATTTTAAAGGTTACATATGTACCTATTAGTTAAAATTTATAAGAAACCAAAAATTATAAAATAAAAAAATTTATAAGGCTTGAAAGCAAAAAGTGTTCAAAGGTGCCCCCCTCTCCCCTAATTATGTTTTTATTTATAAATTGTATTTTATTATATTCTATTTGTTATTTTAAAATTTATTGCAATTATTCTTAATTAATTTTTTATATGATTTTTAATTAATTTTTTATATAATTTTTATGATTTTTATATGATTTTTTAATTGTTTTATAACTTTTTAATTTTTTTATAATTTTGTATATTTTTTATAATTTAGTTTTAATATATATTTTTTAAATTTTTATAATTATTGTTATTTTTTATATTCTATTTGTTATTTATCTTTTAATGTTAATTGGAATAATTTTTATAATTTAGTTTTTATTTTTTCTAACTAATTTTGAAATTAAAATTTTTATTTTTTTAACAAATTTATTTTGTTAATAGGTTTTTAGTTATTATTTATTTATTAATTATTATTTATTTATACGTTGTTATTATTATTAATATTAATTACTACTAATTTATATAATAATAGTTAATAACTATTATTTATTAATTAATAATTATTTTTTATGATTTTTTAATTTTTTCCAAATTTGTTATGTTTTTTTTCTAATTTTTTTATTTATAAATTTAGTTTTAAGTTTTATTCACCAAAAATTTAATTAATTAATTACGTTTTTAATACCAAATATTTTTCTTTCACTTTTCCAATTTTTTGTAATTTATTTAAAATAATTTTTTTAAGTTGTATTTATTTTTTATTTATATTTATTTATTTTTTATTAATTTACTTTTTTATTAATTTTCTATATATTTTTTTAATTTTTTATTTATTTTTTAAATTTTTTATTTATTTTTCTAATTTTTTATTTATTTTTATTTAGTATTTGTTTTTTTATTTATTATGTGTTTTTTATTTATTTTTTATGTATTTTTGTTTTTTATCTTTTTTTTATTTTTTATCTTTTTTAATTTATTTTTTGGTGAAATATTGAAATATGTTTATGCAAAAGAAAAACCTCTTTCCCCAAGCACAATAAATTGTATATCCCATATTTTTCGTTTTTATTTTATTTTTTATTTTGTTTACTTATTATATAAATCTGCTTGGCAATAAACCTCAATTTTTCGTAAGACTAGGCATCATAAACCAAATTTTTTAATTATTTTGATAATTTGTCTATGATATGGACGATAAAGTTATTTTTATCAACGAAATGTGATTTTTGGGAATTACAAGATTTAACATAAAAAAAAAAAAAAAAAAAAAAAAAACAAAATGGAAGAAAAAATCTTTTAACAATCATTTTCTTTCAATATTATAGAGTGGGACAGAGGGGAAGTAAACTTAGATAAATTACGTTTTTTTTTGTGTTGTGTTGTACTTGAATTTACTATGAAATGATTTATATTTTACATACACACCATGCATATTTATGTACTTGACGACTCGTTGTGCGTTTGAGTATGCATACATATGCATGGCTGTATGTATGTATGTGGGTGTAATAAATAGAACAACATTTTATTGAATGACAATAATAAAGGCAACAACAATAACTAGAACAACAATAATAATTAAATAATTACACATATTATTAGTAAAGTCAAAAAGTAGAATAGAATCGCCCATAATAATCAAATCACAACAAAACATTGTTTCTGTTTCGTTAATCTCTGCCTCTATAGCCTTTACAAAATCTCCCGCCTCACTTCCACTCTCACTCTCTTTTTTTTTGCATACATACGTTTGTAAGGTATTTACATTTGATTTGCATACAGGCAAACATTAAAAATAAACTTTTGTTTTCAAAACAAAACAATTGAAAACGACATAAAACAACAGCAACAACTGCATTGGTTACTAGCTGATTTGACTGACTGGCAGGTTTGCTTGCTGACTGACTGGCTAATGGAAATTAAACAATTACACAGACCAGGGAGGAGGCACAATAATTTTATTTTGCTGTTCAATATCAAAAACTCAATTAAATATCCGCACCGTGAATACTCTTCTTCTTCTAAGAACAATAACAGAGAGTAGGTGGGAGAGACACCATCCTCCCATTTTTGAATATCCCAGAAAAAACAAACAAAAATGTCACGTTGCTTGCTGCTGCTGTTGGCTGTATATATGACAACACCAAACAAGACGCAGCTCCAACGTGTGTGTGTGCGGAGAGGGAGCACCACTGATGTTGGCAAAAACAAAAAATGCACACTCGTGAGAATTTCATATATGGCCAATGGCAACACCAACAACAACGTATTCATTTAAGTTGCAATGCCAGCAGTAGTAGTAGTGTGTTGTCGTCTATTATAGCCAACAATAACAGATATGGCCTTAAGCAAAACAAAACAAATCGAATCTTTTCAAAGCTAAAAACAAAAGCAACAACTAG